TTGTCATCAAATCCTCAAAGCAAAAGAATTTTTCTAAAGTATGGAGTAAGCAGCAAAATTAGCGTAAAGGAGGCGTTAAAGAATAAATTAAAAAGAGGTATTAAGTTTATTGCTGCTGGGTAGTAGTAGCAAAATAATAGACGGTAAAAAACAGCAAGTAAAAAAGTTTTCTGCAAAAGAGGTTAAAGTTTGACAATTTTTTTCAGAAGCCAAATCAATATAAAATGATAGGAGCTTCATAAAAATTCAATGGAAATTTAGGCAAAGAAATAAATGAGTGGAGAAGGACTAGGCACAAGCCAGTGGTTGGCGATAGACACCAGCCTTTGTGAATGTGCTGTGTGCTTTGCTAGCTGTCAGTGTTTCACCAGAACATTGTTGGAGTCCTTACATAGTTCAATATTGAGTATGCATATCATGTCATTCATACTTAGTTGCAAATTTAAATAATCTAATATTTAAAAAAATAATTTGAATTCTATCTCAAAATTTCAAAATGAAAAAAGTATAAGTCCTCTCAAAACAATAAGAAATAAGAAACATCGTTATTGAAATAGCTTGGAAGATCTTTTGAAAAAATATCGTTAAAACGAGTATTGATAAGTAAACTGACACAATTGTAAATAACTATGGGATAAGTCGGGAAGGGGAATTACAAAGGTCCCCAAGGGATGCCTGCTTCAAAAAACCAGCTGGCTATCGCTTATTACAGCTTCGTGCTGGCCAAAAACCAGATCTTGAGCTATTTTAAACACTGCGTAGTCATCAATTTCGGATAAGGTTGTAATCCGCTTCGTTGCAGATATCGAATCAGAAGGGTTTTTGCTGAGACAAAGCAACAGGATCAAGAAGTGGTCGCTGCGAAGGACGCGTTTGGGTGTTGATATTTGTGAAATCGCTGGAATTACGGAGATGTTCATGAGAAACAAGGAGAGCAGCGTTTCTGCCACCCACAGCTGCCGTTTCCATGGTGGAGAAAGCTGATTCCAGGGCGTTGGCGTATATCAAACCCGGAGCTAGAATAAAAGTGCCTAGATCACGCAAAGGAGTGACCTGCAAGAAAAAGATGGGATAAAAGAAAGGTATGATCAAATGAACATGAAAGATGAGTGCAAGACAACAAAGGCGAAATATGGCGCAAGTATCAATATGTCTAGGTCTCTTAATTGCTGAGGTTACATAAATTTTGAGTTAAGGTGTTTAGTGAAGAGAATCGAAGGCCGTTCCCATCAGAAGACGACGGTGGATTCCTTCTTACCAGTTGCCAATTGGTTTACTAAAATATTTATGTTGAATCTGTTTCTGAGACAATAACCTTTGATTCCGGTAAAAAATGTGACGGGCATCATTAAAGCAAGGTATAATCCTTGCAACCATATTCAAGCTGAGTCGAAAAAACGCACCGGCTCATTCCTAAATATAGCCTATATCTAAGCTTTCTGATAAAATATTAAGTTACTAGGTTAATTTAAATCATATATCAACCTCGAAGCATGCGAGTGTGTTTGCGCGCGTGTGCGTGCCTACATGTGTTCACAAATGTAAGAAACCAGCAGTGATGGCTCAAAGTAATTAGAACAGGTCTGTTCTCGACCATCAAGGTTTTGACGACCACCATCGCTCCATTTTTATAGCTATTTTAACCATAATTCCGAGCTCGCAAGGTCAGAAACACATCTGGTCATATTTGTGAGCTTTTTGTCTTGGTGTGAGAAAAAAAGTGGGTTCGAAAGTATAGAAAAGTGATCGTGATTAAAACCAAGATATGAAAAAACTATGCGAAGAAAAGTTGGATTTCGAAGAATCTATTGTTTCATAATTGTTGTGCTTACTTCCATTTCAAGTGAAAGTGTTTGGTGAAGAGATTCGAAGGTCAATTCCACCAGAAGACGACGGCGGATTCCTCTTGACCACCTGTCGATTGACTTCACTGGAACATTCATGCTGACGCTCTGTGATTCTGGTGAATCGGCAGTCAAATGACAAACATCACCAAAGCAAGGTATCATCGTCACAACCAAATTCAAGCTAACGAGGATTTGCCGGTGAGTTTTCTTGAGTCGTTAGCTTGAATTTGGTTGTGACTATAATACCTTGCTCGGATGATGTTCGTCATATGACGGACGAAAGCTTAGCACCTTTTCACCGGAATCGAATATAAGCTCGGAAACAGCGTCAGCATGAATGTTCCAGTAGAGCCAATTGAGAGCTGGTCAAGAGAAATCCGCTGTCGCCTTCTTGTGAAATCGACCTTCAAGCTGTTCATCAAGCACTTTCACTCGAAATGGAAGTAAGCACAACAATCATGAAAAGGCTAGTTGCGTTGACTCCATTTTGCAGGCGTCTCAACAGCCTCTCTATCCTAGAGTCGATTAATTAAGCATAATTCATCCTCATTAACTTCTTATCGGTATTCCTTACATTCCATGCAGTGCCTGATAGTCTCTTCGATCTAGTGTTGACGAGACCTTTACAAGATTGAGTGCCAGTTCTAATGATATCCATCATACAGTGGATTAAAGTTCAGTCCCTTTGTATGCTTATGTGCTCTGCCACGCTTTGTCGAATGAGACGACAAGTCCAAAATAAAAGTGGCCACATGAACATGTTATAGCAAACCTATATGGATAATGGGTAAACTTTCTCTCTAAATGTGGGTATTACTAAAAGAAATGTTGTAGTCTCCCTGAAAAGTGTTTTTATTCACCACTTCCTTATTAGTTCGCCTATCCTTTTAGAGGGAATGCACGAAGGAAAAGACAAAACATGGGAAAAGGTCTCACTATCCCTCCCTAAGTATTCATCATTTAAAAAGGTACCATTCATTTATCTAATGTGATTATCAACCATACCTAGGGATAATTATTCTCAAGAAATATTAGGTTGAGGTGATTCGGTTCATTAGCATAATGATATCTATCGGCTAGTCTGATGCTCCAGATGTTAAAACGCCAACCTATGATTAGATAATAAATTGAGGGTGAAGCCAGCGTTTGTTTGCCTCATATATGTATCTCTGTTAACTTCTCACCTACTTTGATCACTAAAACATTCAAAAAGGTAAATACTGTCCTTCTGTATATCTAGTGTCAACATAAAATTACAATCAATCTAGTAAAGTATGAACAAGAAATTATCTAAACTATCCTTACCATGCTGCCATATGGAGAAGAAGTAATTCATATATCTAACTAAAAGTTTTGGTGTCCGTCTTACCCCTTCCATGAAGCGTTCTTCTATTCTTGAGATGAAATTATTCGCTAAAATGGGAATCAAACACATTCCTTAATTTTCTGCATAAGAATCGTGAAATATTATGTAACACACTTCCCTTATTATTACTTCCTTAATTATATTTGGAAGGTAGTAGGCTGAAGATGCACTAGCGTCCTATTAAAGAAGTAAATTTATTTTACACTTCTCAATTTCTCCCTTGCTTTCACGTAAGTAAGACGATTTCATAAGAACATCTATGGAATCCTTAAATAAAAGTTTGCTTGTTTCTGAATCAATTAGATTAATGATAGAAGTTGTTTGACCTTGTTTTAGCAACTTGGTCATATTGGTAGGAAGACTTAGAGGAATGCATCTAGCACGGAGTCCATTGTATGCATGATAATTTCCAATTTCGAACCGCGGACGTGGTACATTCGCAGACGTTTCGCAGACATCGTAGTCAGCATC